CGAAGTTATGGCCTCTTGAAGTTATATTACTTAAGGGCAAGGGGGTCGGGTGTTAGACGCTTGGAATTAAAGGACAATTGGTCGAGCGTGGGTGAATGGTGGATGGTGACTATGTGCCTGGATGTGCATTATGTTGTCTTGTCATGATGTGACCCCGATGCATCTGTGATTGGGTATCACGCATGTAACAAGTAAGCATACATACTGTGAGTCCTATGACCGCATTTGTGGCCCACTGCCTAGCCTCCATGAGCAAGCGAGCTGCCGTCATTATGCCACCACCTCTCGCTAATGGCAAGCCTTGGGGATCGATCCCCGTCGAGGCTCGACATAATGCTCGCATTGAGCCCACCGTGCGACCACCAAAGCATTTGCCCCGGATACACCCACCGTCCAAGGTGGAGAGGGCCAGCTGACCTCCAACAGCCGAGCCATAGGGCAAGGCGATCTTGACGCCTCCGGAAGCTAGAAGCTACCCATGGGGCAGATGGGGCCGCAACAGAGGAGACTAAAACTTTTTCAACTTTTGTGCACTTTTGCCACTTTCTGTCTATTTTGGAAGCTAATTGTTAGGATTAATTTAATGCCACCACCGGGATTTGAACCTACCACCTCACAGGTCTAATAGAGGTGAGTGGACCATAACACCCAAATACCTTCAGGCAGTGTATTACATTGGTACACATTTTTTATACCCTTTGTGGTAATTTATTTTCCTCCCGCTACTTGCCGAGCTATAGCATCACTCCCTTCCCTTAGCCAGTGGTATCCCCGACACTCATTAAACAATCCCTTCTCCTCACTAGAGGTGGCCACTCAAAGGTGCCATCCGGTCCGTTAAATCCGGTTCGTTAATTTTTATCAGCTGTCCGTTAAATTTCGTTAAAGAAAAAGGGAGAAAAATTCAGAAAAAACGAAAAAAATCCAAAAAAATCAAAAAAAACCCCAAAAAATCACAACAACTGCGGCTAGTTGAAAATCTAGTATGCATAGGTTGAAATAAAATACAAACATACTCTCTAATAGCGAATTCCATAAACTATAAGTATGACTAAAACCCAAAAATCCCCAAAAAATCCAAAAATCCGCTAATTTTTGGTTAATTTTTGTCTTTTTTCGTTATTTTCCGTTAATTAACGGAAAATTAACGGAAATTAACCTCTGTCCGCTATTAACGGATCCGGGTGGCCACCTCTACTCCTCACACCCCCTTTAAGCCTTCCTTACTAGTGTGATGGAATCTTGATGACCCGCCAATTCTGACCATACTCAACTCGGCCAGTACGCTTGCAAAACTCTTGGGCCACGTCCCTTAGCCGCTCGTAAATTGTGGAGCATCTTCTCATTGAGCAAATGGTCGAGCAATCCAAGATCACATTGTCACCACCTAATGCTCTAAGTTTGTTATGATGATCCCACATCTATTGCAATGACAACTTGTTGTCACTTCTCAACTCTTGAACGTTATCCTAGCTAACGTGGTTTTCTTCATTGGAGCTGGCACGCGCCTGCTGTCGCCCAGTCCACCCCTTACGGATGACCTCGGATCTCTGCCCGATGGCGTGCAGATCCAGCGTAATCGGGGCCCACGCTTGTTTGGAGTACGCAGTAGGGCCCGGGGCCGCGGGGTCGCAAGGCCTGCATTCTGAGGCCAGTGGCAGCAACGGTCATGGGTCAGCGAGGGCACGCAGTCGCCCCCGCGGGAGTCGGCAGTGATCTAGAAAGAACAATTATAGTCAGACAGTTCGCCCCCTACATCCAAATACCCATCCGACCGTCACACCTCTAAGTGTGCTAGTACATTAAGGCACGACCACAATGCACTGCACAAAACGGGCCTCTAATCACCACCAAAACAGCTCCACAACTCCCCGTACTTGGCCCCCATTATCAAGGCTGCAATACAATATTGTTGCATTAATGCTCTGCACCTTTAAGTCATCCATAAATCTGCGTATTTAGACAACAAAAGCCAAGAGGTAAAATAAACTATTATACTATAAATATAGAGCTGTACACCATTATCTAAAGATAATGAGAGAAAGAATTGGTCCATTGCACCTACCCCAAGTGTTTCCACCACACTGGCTTTGAGCCTATCTCATGGTATCACTTTGTAGTAGTCATCTTTGGGGAGCTTAGCTCTAAAACTATTTGATATGCACCCAATTGAAGAACCGCTCGGACCGGGATTTGAACCATGTTCACCATAGCAAGCCATACTAGACTGGCCATATTATAGTTCATGTTGGTGCCAGAGGGGCTCAATCATTTTGTTCTTGGGTGTTTTATTATATTTGGTTTTGTCAACTTTTGGTTTTGCCCCTGAAGACAACCGTTGCCTTATGGGGGGTAGTGTTGTTATGACTTCTAGATGTTGTTTATATTTCCTAGGCCATAATAGGTTGTTGGGGCATGAATCCTTAGGTTGGAGCAGGTTAGTGAATTTTCGCTTGGACCCTTAGGGACATTGAGATATTCTACATTACTTGGGTGTTTGGCAATTTGTCTTGCCTTAGGGATATTCTCGACATACTCAGGGTTATTGGGGTTTGTATTCATATGTTTTCTTAGAGAGTAAATGAGCCCACCAAACAAATGGGACAATTAAATAATATGGGAGTGATATAATATTATATTGTTTGCATGTAATTTGCTTTTGGAGTCAATCCCGCCTCCCTCACATGCTGCGTAGGTCCTAGGCGTCCACCCCATAATGCCACCTTTCTGGGTGCCTGCGGGGTGGCACAATACTCATGGGTCGCCAATTTGCCGTAAATTTCATAATACATATTAGCAACCCGAACACCTCTGAATGCGCCCTAAATTCATAGAATAAGATGCGGTGGTGTTGCAACTGCTGGTGAAAAACTTCGTGCATCCTTGAATATAAAACATTGTATAAATGCATATTTTAAATTTTAGTATAGAGGAAATATCATAAGACGAGCAAAAATACATAATACAAAACATGGCGGCACTTTGTTCTTGTTCCGTTAGATATCGATTGGGATTAAATACAATTGACTTGAGGTGCAATTTCACATTGAACAATGCTATTCGAGTTGGTGCTATATCGTGGAGTTCTTAATGCAAAGCAGAATACTGCCTGTGATGCAACCGACATTACTAGCAAAAAAGGGACCAAACAGCACCTCTTGCGAATACACACATATGCATTTTATCAATGTTCTGTATGCTAAAACATGGAAATAACACAAACCCGTAACTCTGTATATATTTGAACATGTGTTATTTGGCCCTTTTTGCCTAGTGCATGCGAAATCTGCACAAGATTTCCTTATAATTTATGAGTTAGATGCAACTAGGATTTTTTGTGCATTGCACAGGTGGTCCAAGTTATGGCAGTATTCATGCATTAGTTTCGAAAGTCTTAATGCCAATACCAGTGCCATCTGAATTCTGGTTGCACAAACAACTCTTCTGCATTGGTTCACTTTCCATAAGCTCTGTGACAAGGTTGTCCAACTTAGTAGGTGCAATCTGGTGGCTTCCTGTTCCCATGCACGGGACAGTATGTGAAAGAGATAGGAGTTCATTTTGCAAAATTTGAATTGGTTTTATTTAGTTCGATGAGAAGTATGTATCAAATTTTGCAACAAAATTTGAAGCAAATTGGCTCACAACGGAGACATCGACCCACAAGAGAGTTCGAGCGCTCATTGTTTATAAGCCATAGTGTTACACTATAGTAGCTGGAGCCTAATGAGCTGTATTGATCTTGATAAATAAAGGTTGCCATTTTGTTACAACTCTCTTCAATTCCTTGATGATGTGTGCATTTCAATTTCTCCATTTCGGGGTGTTAGTTCCATTGCGGCGGCCGTCAACATCAATATCATGAATGTCTACATATGTGCTGGTCAATTCTAAAGTTGCCAACAATTTTTTCTGACAACCATATAACAAATTCGAATCAGACTTGTTTGCAGCACAATATATGGTCCTGTTAATACATAACTATATACGTACAGGCTGGCACTCATAATTACACTCATTTCTAGTCCAATCAGCTGCCATACTCACCTCTAACTTCTCTGCACATTTGCGCTTGGGATTGTAGTGGGTTGCTACATGCCATTAGGGTGCCTCTATCTGGGTGTTTGGATCGGATGTTCGCTCTGACTCATATATATGTGGTTGTGACACACCAACCATAATCAAGAGTCACACGTGATGGCCATTCAACAAAGGTCAATGAACCTTGCAGGATACTATCACACCAGCATTAACCCTCGCAATCCAAAATGCGACAGTACGGCTCAAGTTGTTTGTCAAATGTTACAATGGTTAAGGTTTCTTGTATCACAAAACAACTCACAGCTCACACAACAATGCTCACTCTTGCTGCATGTAACCATGTCAGGGGATCGAGCTTTGCGCTCTAGGTCGCCAATCCAAGTTGCACATAACCTCGGGTGCACCCCATCGATTTCTACGAGATCGTGTATTGTACAAAAGCTATAACGGCTAGAGCTAAATTATCCGATTTCTTAGCATTGATTGTCAAAATTTCGACTTATTTGAACGTTTCGTTCATTCAGAAAAGTTTGTTAGAAAGCAAGGATATAGGAGGGTGGGAAGACTCAAGCGTTTGTGCCATGGAAATTCATTCATGTGCCAGATAAGTGCTTTCCATGCACCCTTGCCCGGCATTTCCCTGGAGAACTCATCTAATTATCCTGTGGTTCGGCTGAAAAAGCCCTGGCCTCGCGCCGTTACGCCCCAATATTTTGAAAAGTGCGGTGGCCGGGATGTTGAAGGTCGAATGTTACTTTCCAAGGAGGCTGTTTCTCCCCTCCCCACCCACCCTTCTTCCCCACCCGCGGCCTGAAATGACGCATGACGTGGCCGCCCGCGATCAGTCGGATGTCCGCTCGGCTATGAGGCCATCCAGGGAAAAGGTCCCCAGCCTGCAAGGAAGCGGCGCAACAATCGTTGTCGCTCTCACGCCTTTCGCAGGCCCCTGGCCATCGACCATGCCCACCTCCTTCGACATCCGGTCGCCGCGCACCGTGACCTGCGCCCTGGCCTCCCTCCTCTTCCTGGCGGCGCTGTGGACGGCCGTGGGCGGCGTGACACGCCTGAACAGGGACTGCACAGGCGGGGGCGATCCGGTCGAGGCCAAGTGCCGGGCCCTGTTCCGACCCGTCTGGTGGGCGATCATATTCGAGGCCGCGGTTTACACCTTCCTGCTGGTGGCATGGCTCCTAGGGGTGGCCGGGAAACTCAATGTCGCCCTGGTGGCGTTCCTGGTCCTGGCTGCGGTGAAGACGGAAGCCCAGTCTGAAGTGATGCTGAAAAACAGGGATGATGACGGGGTTCTGGGCGACCTCCAGAAGATCCGGGGACTGACGGGCCCCCCCGTGGACCTGGAGCACGCGGACGCCCAGACGGCCGCGGCGGGGTTCGTGCTGCTGACGGCGTGCAACTTCGTCCTGTGCCTGGTCCTGGGATCGTCGTCGCTCAGCCACAGGGACATCGCCCTGAATTTGCCCACGGTGGGGAAGGCGGTCGCAGTGGATAGTGGCCACGCGGCGGAGGAGCTCCCGTCTGCACCGGCCCCACATGGCGCCCCGCGGGGGACGCCAAATTCTTCGGAGTTGCCCCAATCCATGGATCAGCCGCAAATGGTGGAGGAGGACGGCGGGACAGACGATCGAGTGTAGTGATGTGGGGCGTGGCCGGGAGAGGCTCTGATGGCCTCCCGTGGGTTGTTGGGTGCTGGGGACGCTTAAATTTTAAGGCGTGCCGTAGGCGAGAAGGGCGGGGAAGGTTGGCAGGAAGAGCGTCGCGATGCGGGCGCCCCTGGCTTCGTGCATCATGGACGAAGCCAGGGTTCTGGGTTGGCGAGGCTCGGGTGCTGTACATTGGTGTGAGCATCATGAGTCGGAGTTGGGGTTTGTGAGAACGAGGAGGGAAGTCGACTCTTGATTTCAGTGGGAGTTCTCAGTGAGAGCGCTGTTCATTCTAAGGGTCTGCCCTCGCGCCGTTTGCGCGCTTTGTGGCTCCTGTTGGGCCAGAAGTTTCGTTGCCGGCAGGGGGAAATAATGCCAATGATGCTCGTGAGCGAATAGGTTTGTTGGCGAGTTCTCGGACAGATTCACGCTCCCCAGGACGTCTGGGGCGTTTTCGACACACTGATAGCCGCAGTGCATTGCGTGCATGGAAACGCTCGATGGCACTGTGGATGTATCATTTTTCCCATGAGAAGCTATCGAGGAGCATGGAGGCGTGTAGTTCACATTTGTAAATTCCTATTGCAGAACTGCTGCAACCTGTTCCACGAGATGGGCACTTGTGTGCATGCATAGGGCAGAAAGGCTGCAAGCCGCCCCACGGCGCACATTGCAAATATGGATCGAACTTGAAAAGGGCACTATTGTTGGCTTTGAGGTGGGAATCGATCCATGTCCGCAGCTAATGGCTGGAACGGCAAGCGTGCGAGTTGTCTAAGTGTTGTACTGCAGAATATTAAACCCTTCCGCATAGTAACGTAACGCTTGGTCTTCTTTTGCAGAGAAAATAATATAAATATTAACGCAAATCTTGGCCTTACTGTGCGGAGCAACGCAAAAAATAGAAACAACGCTGTGAAAAGCAAAATGCGGAGCAAAGGGCATAACGAAATTTCATGACGCCTTTGCGATCCTCTGCTGGTGGCAGCTGCGCTACAACTTGTAACCCACTGCAAACCTCCTGACGTGCTCCCACCGCAAGCGCCAGTCGGTGTCTCCTCTTCCCCCCCCCCCATTTCCGGATCTAACCCAATCTCTTCAGAGTGCCTGTGAGAACTTCTTTTAACCCATCTTCGGTACCGATGCTGAAGTCGATCGCACCCTCAGCCCCTTCCTTTTTGGGCCCGACATAGCAGCCCAAAGTGGCCGGCAGCAGCGTTGGACGCTTGAATTCTGATTCCATTTCCCATCCACCCTTCATATCCAGACCTGAGATCACAATCAAACACTCAGCGATCATCGAAGCTCACCAGATAGTGCAAACGCTCACTAAACAGCGTAGCAATGTCATGTGCAAAGCATACCTACGTATCATCTGTAATTAGCCAGTATTGGCATCATTCCTTAAAAAGTATCAAAGCCCAAGTTGGCCTTACAAACATGTCAGTTTGGTATGAGCACATATGCAACAAATTTTGATGGTTCACAGGAGGCATACACGCAGCCCCTCATCTTGCCCAACAATTCTTTACCTGCAGTAATTTTGCTGTGCTCGCTCGAACACATAAATACAACACCTCCTACGAAGATGGAAATTGTGTGCATTACCATACATGGATAGAGCAAGAAGCCATTTCAGACGTTACCGTCTATTCTTGTTGAGATAGTGCAACTGTGAGCATTGATACCCGATCTTGAAGCATGCAATACTGCAGCATTTGCAACATCAGGGTTGCATCCGCAGACTCTGTGCTTCTCATTTGGGAACTGCACCCTGGCACCCTACTAACGCCACTTGTGAACTGTTCGTAATGTGAACTTCATGTTTTCACCCCATGCGGCAAATCTCAGTCATCAATGTGCTGCACAAGGGCAGATTTCTGTCAATTCTAACACTGCAGCCAGTGCTAAGCCACACATGAAACTGGCTGGATGGTGGCATTGCATACCATGTTTGGTCTCAATTGCACTAACTGCCCTGGCCAGCAGAAACAATGCATGTGCAATCGGCCTTCGAAACCCAAACAGCTTCGCCGTTATGGGGAAGAGGTGAATAGGGTTGTAGTCACCATTGAGGCTTGCATATCTCCTGCCAGCATCTCCCCCAAGGTGCCAGGTGTCAATGAGCTCTCCAGAGATCTTGACGCCCACCCCCTGTTGGACACAGCCCAAGTGTCACATCATGTTGCCTGTCAAGATGTGCTCATGGGCCTGGTATTCAGACGTTGAACGAGGGTAGTGAGTCAGTACTACTGACACATATTGTTTGCATTGCTGCCCAGGTGAATGGGCAGCTCGGGTCCTACCTCAGAAGAATGCATTTGGCATTAGAAAAAGCAAAGCAAAACTACCTGCTGCTGCAGACAGCATGACAAAGGCGTTCCAGAAGGAATTCCACAACACGTACATGAACAACCCCACACTGATAAAGATACTCGCTGTCCAACGCCAATTAACAGAAGTGGGCTCTGTTGGTACATTTGCATTGCACTCTTGATGGGTGTGCATTTCGACATTGTGTTTGGTTCTTTCTGCAAACGTGATTGGAGGCATTGATGCAGGTGTTTGTGCACCCACATCGATGCTGCATCATCCCGAGGAAAAAAAGTGGTGAGACGATTGTTACCCTGATTCTAATGGTGGTCCGTGCCCCTCGGGCAGCTCCTGGGCCCATTTGTCAGGAGCACAGTCAGCATATGAAGCACACAAAAGCGATTGATGGTGATTCCTTTTCCTATGGTGTTCGATGCAACTATGGCTGGAGTCAAGATGGTCATGGTAGGCAAGGGAGGGCTCACCTTGGAGGCGCCTGCTGCTGGCTTTGCAGCTTTCACCCTTTTAGGATTGATCAGGAGGATGGTTAGGGTGCTTCTCCAGACAACATCACCTTCATTGCAGAGCAAGCAATTTTCAAACATGCAAATGGACACGTCTGCCAAGATCTTCGATGTTATGGACACCATGCAATCGGAATCTGCACTGATGTCTGCCATGAGCAAAAGAACTCTGCTTCTGTGGGTTGTACATTCTGTAACCATGCAATTATCTGGTGCATGTGCGCTTTATTGCCAAGCAGGTGCAATGGGCAACAGCTTTTCACAGCTAGAACAGCAGTGGCCACCTGCAGCAGCTGTGGTTGCTGTGCTGATGAGGTCGAATTCGATGTCGCCTTTGTCGGTGTGTCGCACAGTGGTGTCCACCGAGCAACTGTGGCAAGACAAAAGGACACATGAATGAATGTATCCTTCCAAGGAGCTTGCAAACATTCACGCTGGTCATGGGGCATGTTGCTCTGCTGACCTCCTATGATCAGGTGGGGTCAGTTTCTAAAGGTCAGCATGGACCACAGGATGCTTGTCTAAAGTACATTGCAACCCCCATGCCACCAAAAGGAGAACCTGAGAAGTAACAATAACCTCAAACTGGGCTGGCTAATCTATCAACAGTCACTGAATCTTGCCAATATCAATTGCTCTAGCTCTTTGACATCGTGTTTGCCACAAACCATCAGCTCAACTGTGACAGTGGCATTTGCAATATCAATGCCACATTTGATCTGATTGCTTGAAAAAGGCCATCACGGATTGTTGTGGTATGGGATGTGGTTAATCCAGATGTTGTTTGCTAACCATGGCTGTGGCACTCACCGCTGGAAACATTCATCAGATATGGAGACAAAGATCTAGGGAGATTGTAGCCCTAGCAGTTGCATTGCCTGGCATGAAATGTCCGTTTGTGGCACATCTTTCAGTTCCTTTATTGAAAGGAAGGGAACAAAGGTACAATGGAGCAACCCTGCGTGCTTCTAAGATTTGCAAAGCCAATAGCTGAAATGCATAAAGATTTTGAATCAGCAGCAGAAGATGATGGACAGTGGCCTACCTATGAAGCAGCTTCTCATGAACTTGCACGTTTCTGGTAAGCACCAGCGTATACCTTGCCAAAACTGCCCCAGCAACACTCACTGGGAAGGCTGGATGAAACAACACCGCCATGGCTAGTCGGAAGGCCTCAACGATAAAGTACATTATCGGCACATGCTGGGGGTGGTTGGGGCCTTGCACAAGCCTCTGGAAATTGGCCAGCCGTTGACCATCCACTTCTGATGCCACCCCAACTGACACCTGAACTCACCAGAGAACATTTTCACCAGTGGATGATATGGTCTCAGTTGCTGACATTCGCTGCTGGCCATTGAGCGTTTCCGTCACCCAGGATGCTGACCACGCAGTTCTAATGAGCAGAAAGCCCCTCCAAAGGTTCCCTTCAGAAAGGCGACATGCTGTTCCTTGCTGTGGAAAAAAGCCTGTAAGTGGGCTAAGATGGCCGAATGCATTTGTGAAGCAACATAAAACAGTGAACGTGAACAAATCGTCTTGATCACCAATTCCTGTTTCATTCATTAGAGTCTGAAACAGCATCTTCTGTAAAACTAGGGGTTTCACAATCAAAATCTCTGGAAGCAGTACTCACAGGCCTGGAGAACAGGGGAACATTTCGAGTTGGATACGAGTCGCAAGGGCTGCCCCAGTTCTCTGTGCTGCCTCCCCCATGCAGAGCAGATGCTTCAGTTTTGGACTGGTTGCCAGCAATGGCTGGAACCAAAGCCGCGTGGGCCTTTAAGCACACTCTTTTCGGGAACCAATGCCTGGCAAGACACAACCTCTGGACAGGCCTGGGACACAAAGGAACCGGCTTTCCATCACGCCAGATACGGATCCAGTTTCGCAGGATTCCGCTAAACAAGCACAAGCTATCTGGAAGATCAACGCACGGTGCCGCTCCAAAACGCGGAGACTCTGGTGCTTGTGCCACATCCTGAACATTGAATAGGAGCGAAACCAGCCGTGCCTCGATTGGGGCCACTCGAGTGACCGTGGCAGGCAGCCTCCCGGGCTTGAGGAGCATGCCCGATGCCGCTCTGATGTAGAGCACGGCGATGGAAGGCCAGGCGCGAAGGTGGACCCGCAGCCGCCTGGGGCTGCGGCCCACCAGGGCCACCACCGCCAGGGGCGCCAACAGCAGGAGCAGGAAAAGGGGATTCATGGCGATTGGGGCGGTTGGGAGCGTGGACGCACACCAATGTTGGCCGCTGACCAGCGGGGCTATTTTAAAGGACCCTTGGGCCCGTGTAGGGGACGAGGGTTAGCCCGGCTGATATACTACTGGGTTCAGTCGTCCACGGCCAGCCCTGAGCGTACTTGCAAGGGGGGGAGGGTGAGATGGGAAAGGAACACTAATGCAACAATTGAAGGGGAAGAAAATTGAAACCCATATGAATATTGTATTAAATTGGCTAATATTAAAAAATAGAAAATCAATGAGCTATATGTCAGAAAACAGTGCCTGAAAAAACCATTGATAGCCTCAAGACAAGTGGCCGCCTTGAAAACGAAAAGTGTCAAAGCCAGGTAAGAGAATTGTGATGCTAGCTACAAGTCGCGCCTTGTCACTACGCAGGGAAAGACAGGCGCCTCTCCAAGAATGCTGTGGGGAGGCGGCAGCAAGCCCTCTTTTCGATGGGCTGTGCTGCCGCTCGGCGTTTCCTCGTGGCTCTGGGCTAACTCGTCATCGGTGCTGCTCCGCGATGCCCAGCAGCGATCCCACCTGTGGCGATAGGGCCAACTTGTTGTTGGGGCCAGCGCGGTTTGGAAATCGTGTCAGGAGCGGCTCTGCCGATCAGCACCCCTTAACAGCCTTTCGTGCAAAATGTCGTTAGTGAGCCAATAGCACAATTAATGTGCAACATTTTGATTTCCAAGCAAATTGTAAAAACTATGGTGTTCAATATGTGCAATCGACCCATAATGCAATAAATATGCTCAAGATCAAAGAAAAACACGTTTTGAAGTTGCACAACATTACCATTTCTACACTTGTGTAATATCCACTAACGACATTTTGCACGAAAGGGTGTTCCTTGGCGATGGTCGCCACTCTCAGTGCTTTTTGCTTTCATGCTCAATTGTTTAGGGGGCGTTGGGGCCATGCGGCATGCTTTCGTTCTTCGGATCCCAAGTCCAAGCATGCTCGCCAGGTGGCTGCCATGACTGGCGAGGCCCCATGGATCCCGTCTTGTGGTTACGTAGCCGCAGTGGGGCTTGTCGCCTCCTACTGAGGCCATGTTTTTTGTCATTGATTTGCGGCGCTGGCCATGGCCCATTCTGGCTCACATGGCTCAAGAGCCATCCACGGTAAGGACAACTCCTCCAATGGGTTGCCCTTGGTGGCGGTGCCACCGCCGCGGTGGATGCTCTCATAGCCCCTTGTGTTTCCGTGCACCTAATGGGGAACTGCCGGGGCTGGGGGGCGTTCTTTTCATCTTGGATGATGGGGCCAAGTGTGCTCGCCGTGTGGCTACGATGGCGGGCATAGCTATCACCCAATTGTCCTTCATTAGGCTTCGAGTACTGGTTATCAGGACCGATGGGCCATCAGCCCAGCTAGGTGGGAGGGATATTCACTGCGGTGCTCGCCACGGCCACCACGCAGCTTGCAAGGTTCAAGGACAGGGCCACTCTGGACTATGGATGCCTAGGCAGTGTGATCTAGAGGTGGCCACTCAAAGGTGCCATCCGGTCCGTTAAATCCGGTTCGTTAATTTTTTTCAGTTGTCCGTCAAATTTCGTTAAAGAAAAAGGGAGAAAAATTCAGAAAAAACGAAAAAAATCCAAAAAAATCGAAAAAAACCCAAAAAATCACAACAACTGCGGCTAGTTAAAAATCTAGTATGCATAGGTTGAAATAAAATACAAACATACTCTCTAATAGCGAATTTCATAAACTATAAGTATGACTAAAACCCAAAAATCCCCAAAAAATCCAAAAATCCGCTAATTTTTGGTTAATTTTTGTCTTTTTTCGTTATTTTCCGTTAATTAACGGAAAATTAACGGAAATTAACCTCTGTCCACTATTAACGGATCCGGGTGGCCACCTCTAGTGTGATCGGCACGGAGGACGGGTCTTGGCAGAACTCCTGGGGAGTGGTGTCGACTATACTGGTGGGTTGTTGGCAGGCCAAAAAACGGGGTCGCACAGGTTGTGTGAGTGTGGGTTTGGGGCCCAGTTGTGCATGTGTTTTATATCCACTGTTGAAGAAGAGAGGCCGGGCATCTTGTGATCACCCTCAACATCGCAGGCGATTTTTCTCTGACTTCGTCAGCCAGCAATGATAACCACAGAACATGGCACATGGCGATGTGTTGGCGATTTGTGCTTACCGGATTAGCTGTTGGGCATGCCAGAGATCCAATACTATGAAGATAAATAGCCTAACAACGAGACAACCATAATCTGCATCTATGGACTAAGCCTAGCAACATGCTTGCCAAAAACTACACTTGCAATCCAAGCAGCACACTCCAGGCAAAGGACAACATGCACCACCTTGCAAGAGACAACAACTACACATATGGCCCCCCGAGGTTCTGATCATCAATCAGAAAAGTAGCAATTTCAGTATGTTGCACAATCATTTTTAAAAACAATCGCCATCATCTGAAAGCGATTGTCAGCCGTTCGATTCAAGATTTCATGCCTCCACCTGCGCAACCTCTTGCGCCCCACTCTGCCACCGTGGACCAGCCCACAATCCCGTCATAGATAATCCCGAACTTTCATTAATATCAGACGTTGATCTGTAGATTGCCATGCCACTAGGATGGCACACAATTTTGCTATGGCCTCTAGATACCGAGCGCCCGTTAACTCCGGTTGGGGCACAAGGATTGGCAGAGGAATTTGTCCGATACAGTGGGGTGGCCTCTTTAAGGCCCCCCGTGACAACCCCATTTCACCGGCCTTATTGACCGTTGGTCTTATTGAGGTCAGCAGCTTATTTAAGGCTGTAGAAGCCTTTTACAGCACACTTAGCATTATGCAGTACATATATTGATTATTTTTAAGAGTATTCTGATACTGAATATTGTTAGTACTTATACGTTGGCCAGTAAGAAGCGTAGTGCTTTACTTGGTAGCATTGATTGTCATTAGGCAATGCTCCAATTGAAGGCGGGTGGTTTTGAACTGGGTGACCGGTGCCATGGGGTTGCAAGTGCCCCTGTGCCCACGTTAACACAGCACTAAAGGCCCGAGTGCCCGATGTACGAGGTACCCGAGGGTCCCTGGGCTGCGGGGGCCCCACACGGCACAAAAAAAGCTTGCTGCCCAGGGACAGAAACGGCCCGGCAAGCTTGAGGATGCACATCCCGACATTCTGATCGTCGTGGACGTGGGAGCCAACCTTACAACTTGGTTGTAGAAGCCTTCGCGAGTGGGGAAGTGGCTGGACGAAGTTGAGAATTAACTCACTCGTTCGTAGATCTAGGGCCAAAGTGGCGTTTTCATGTGGCCCACCCCCCATCACCCACATTGCTTCGTTCTGCCGGGATCGACTCCTCCACAAATCCTTTGGAGATACCCATCACCCCCAGACCACTGTAATGTATACTGTAGTGAGGCTGTTGGGGGATGTCGTAGGGCAGTCTGCGCTTCTTGCCCTCGAGGCAAGGCATGGCGGCGCCCCCCACAATCTCAAACTACATGTGGCCACGTCTTTCTAACACTTTAGCTCGTGTCACCATATATGGCCGATTTTGACCGGCCTTATTGTCCGTTTGGCCTTACTCAAGGGGGCTTTAAAGAGGCCACCCCACTGTACTTATATGCTATCGATAGGAAGTACCAAACATTAGATATGTGCTTTGATCGGCAGGTACCTCGGGCAGTACATGTACTGGTGCTGACTGGGGACAAAAGGGGCGCGGGTCGTTGGTTGTGGCGCAGCTTGGGTGTGGTGAGAGACTGGAACTGGACAAACGGGATTGTGAATGTAACGAGCAAAGCTTTTGGCACATCTTCTGTGGTTGTAGCCCTCCTTGAGTGTGTGTGCTTGTCGTACACTGATTTTGCCTGTTCCTCGTGCTTTGCTGCGTCCATTTCACGTCGTTTGATGTGCTCGGCTGCCTCAATTGTCGGTGACAAAGGTGGCAAGTGTTTGCCAATCACGACGATCGCCGTGCTGGCCTGCGGGTCAATGCGCGGCACTCCATGCACTTTTGTGGGTTGGCATTTTTGCATTCCCCCCAAAGTCCCGTCACCTTCAGCCTCATCGATCATTGCGTTGCGGTTTTCCACCGTGCGCTTCGTATCGCCTGCCTCTCCCTTGCTTTCTCGGTGATTCTGCGACACTCACTGACCATCGCCGGCCCTACATTTACGTCTTCGGCACGTCCGGACTACTCCATACTGGGTGAATTGTTGTTTTACGTGCCCTACCTTTGTTTTGAGCGCAGTGCTTACGTTCCGCTGTCTCTGGAGCGTGTCTGGTGAGTTCGTTGGCAGTCGCGAGGGGCTTCTGAGGAAAAACCGTCTCCATCAAGGCAGGGTTCTGAGGGGTAAACTATTTGTAAGGTCCACATTCAACCAGCGCTTCTCTCAGGCAGCGTTGGGTGGATCCTTAATGTAGTAATTTCAGCCTTTGGGGTTTTCAGGACTATGGGAATGTGTCCCTTGTGCTGTGGTGGCAGTGGCTTGCGAATCGTTGCCATATTCCCTGCCATAAGTGCTTTTGTAGCTTTGGGTGGTGATCGCACCAGACTTTCTGCAATTCTCTGCGACGGTTGGGCTTTCTGGTGTTGAGTGATGCGTCTCTTGGGCCTTTTTCCTCCATTTAATTGGTTGAGAAGTTTGCATTTCTCCTGGGGTCATCAGCCATTGTGTGGCAGCCCATCATGCAGGGAGCTCAACAACGTTCAAATGCTTCGCCCGCACGATAGAGCTCTCTATCAATGCTCTAGCATTGTTAGCCCCTGGCACTTGCACACTGTCAACATTGAGTACTGTACATTGACTCATTGGGGAAGGGCAGTGTTCAGGGGTGCTTTGACACATGCCATCAATAAGGGTTGAGGCAGTGACACGCCCAACAGCCCTGGCAACTTTGAAGACAGCAATTGTTGCATTTAAAGACAGGAACAAGCTCATCAGAACCTGGGAAGGGAAATCGACCTGGGAATTCACCGAATGTAGGGGAAGCTGGGAAC